TTTTATCAGTTTAAAATTTTGTTTAAATAATTAATAATAATATTTTAAAATATTAATTTATAGATTAAATTTAATATATTAAATAATAAATATCAATTATTAAGTAAATTATTAATAAAAATACTATAATTACAATTTCAAATGATATTATAAATGTGTCATTATATAATTAATTATTTTTATTAAATATTTATTCATAATATTATATATATCAATTTGTTTAATATCACGTTATATTTCATTAAATATTATTTAAAATTATAAATTTACAGTATTATATATTATTATTATTATTAAATTATTAATTATTTTTAATAATTATATTGTTTAAAATTATATAATTATTAAAATTATTGTGTTTGACCATGACTATGAAAACAGCTAACCAGCAGGAGGCGCAGGCAGCTTACATTCCATTTATCACCACACAATTCCGTCTCGTTCTCATCTCAAAATCTTGGGGTACGCAATTCCCCACCTTTTTTTTTATTTATTTAATTTTTTTTTTGTCCTTTCTTCTTCGTAGACCTATATAATGGGACCAAACTCCACCTTGTCTGCATCGGTGGTTGCTGGTTGGTGCTGGTTACGTTGATTTTTTCTTGCTCCTTGCATTAATCCCACAATGACGTTGAAGAGATTCTTTCGTGAGAGGCTCTTGAACATCTCCAAGCTCTCACCACCGCAATCCCTAACCAACTGCCGCATCTCCTCTCCGGCTGTGCTCGGCCGGGTTCCCCAGAATGGGAGAAAAGCGGCGACGGTGATTGCACCGGATCCGAGAGACAATGGCAAGGGGATTTTCAGGAGATTTCTCCACGAGCGGGCGGTATTCTCCCCGGAGATTCGGAAGATGCCGGTTGGGGAGACTTTGATGGATAATTTGAGGGGAATGGTGGTTGCGAAGGATCGGATCCGGTTGGACGGGCTTACACCGCATCTGGCTACTAGATCGGCGGAGAATAGGTCCGCCGATGTGGTGGGACTGACGGTGGAGGATGCAAGGAAGCTGCTGAGGGTGGCGCAGCTGGAGGTTGTAAAATCGAAGCTGAGAGAGACAGGGAAGAATTGGATCGCGTATCCAGAGTACGTTAACATCTGCAGAGAAGGTTGTTCGGGTCCAGAAGACGGATTGCAGATTGCGAAATTGCTTGATGAGTGCGGGACAGTCATTGTCTTGGGAAACCTTGTCATTTTGCGTCCTGAACAGGTTGATAAATCTTCCTTACACCTCTTCTTAATCTTTAAATTTCCTTAATATCCGAATTTATTTCCCGTTTGTTTCATTCCTAAGTTCTGGATTACAGATTAGCATATCCATTTCTTTGGTCCACGAACAAGATAGGTTTTCAATTTCTATTGACGAGTTCTTCAATTTTTCTTATAATCTCAAGACCATACCGAAAACTGATAGCTTTTTTGTGGGTATTTTTTTTGTGTTTTTTCTTTCCACAGGAGGTCTAAAACGTGAAAGGGTCCACGTTTGAGATGGTAGTGAAGGACCAAAAACAAAGCCCTTCAGTTTCTTCAGGGAACAAGATTGTTTCAGTTTTCACCTTGGGTTCAAGGTTATGGGATATACCCATGCCTTTCCTCACCCGAAAACCAAACTAATTAAACTGAACCAATAACTTTCAAAACTTTTAGAATAAGGAAAGATAGGAGAATATATGGAATGTAAATTTTATTTTTCTGTGTTTTTAATTACATTAAAGAACAGGGGTGGACCGGATGGTGGATGAGGAATGAGATCAATACTGGCAATTGGGATGGGTTGAACTTTATTTTTTTTCTTTTTAATTATAGGGAACAAAGAAGAAACTGACAATAGGAATTTGAACAGGGAAGGGAAGAAAACAAAAGCATGAGTTCTTGTTGTATGGGAAAAAAGAGGTCTTAGCAGACAATAGGCATTGATTGTAGAAATGAAAGCTTTAAGAAAACCAAACGTATTTTCCTGGTTTATTTTTCGTCTTTAGTGCTTGATAACTATAAACAGGCTTAAATTGACATTAACAGTTTAGCACACCACCCCCCCCCCCCCCTTGTTTTTTCATTCATTATTCCTTTTTTTATTACATTTTCTTTTTTGAATCCTTGTGTCTTTGGTTTTCAACACCCATAAACGGCATTTTCAAGTTCATTTTTTAAAAGTGATTTACTTTTTTAGATTTACACACTATGTTTTTTGTTGGAGGTTATGGTGGTTTCTAAGGAAAATTCAGAGTTACTTGGAAAAATCATTTTAGAACACCCAATATTCATGAAATATGTACGTAGAGTTTGAGCTTGTTTTGTTTTACCCAAAAGTGTTTCTTCATTTTCTTGTTACAGGTAGCAAAAGTTCTTGGAGGCCTGATTCCCTTAGCAGGAGCAGCCAAACCAAATGATCCAAGAAGAAAGGAACTAGAACAGTTAGAAAGGCAGAAAGCTGCAATTGACAAAAAAGCCAATTCCCTAGTTCGTCTAGAACTCTGGGGTGGCCTAGCTTTCCTGGTGGTGCAAACAGCTGCATGCATGAGGCTGACCTTCTGGGAACTCTCATGGGATGTCATGGAACCAATCTGTTTCTACATGACGTCCATGTACTTCATGGCTGGTTATACCTTCTTCCTCAGGACATCCAAAGAGCCTTCTTTTGAAGGTTTTCATCAGAGCAGATTTAGTTCCAAGCAGAAGAAACTAATGAAGATGCGAAATTTCAATGTTCAGAAGTACAATGAGCTCAAGAGTGTGTTCTACCCAAATTCATTTGATCAGTATAAAAAGAAGCAGATTGGTGCTGTGTAGATCATTTATACAGATAGAGAAAGGGGTCATAGAAAACAAAATACATCCAAATCCAACATACACTCAGTTTTGTATAACTTGCTAATTAAATTTTAGCATTAGGTGCGGTTTTCTGTAACATTCTGCCGATTGCAGAGAGGATTTTTCTTTTACATTTTTCAGAATTTCATGTATGAAAACATCATACATGTTGAGTGATGTAGCTTAATGATTAAAGGTTGATCAAATGCATGTCTATGAAATTTTTTTTAATGATTCTGAGTACACCTACATAATTCCGCCAAATTAATCAAAAGAGATGATTTTGTAATTATTATTATTATTATTTTGTTAAGCAATTAGAGTGTTTCTAAACTAACTTACGTATAACTCAATACTAATTCCTACATGAGAGAGAGATGGGTTTATTGACCAAGCACGCAGAGCCAAGTTTGAAGTTTCTATAGGTGTCTTGAAGTTCCCTTTGAACTGAACCAGGGAAGGTGTTACTGGATAGGCTTAGGTTGGTTAATTGCCTAGGATTGACTTTTTAGGACTCTTTTGAAGCCACACAAAGGCAGGTGCGATTGAGTCTTATGGGGTGCTAAAGTCCAAGTCATGGCAGGCCACTCCACGAAACTGGGGCCTTCACTTTCCTAATTTCAATTCTTGATAACATATGTTCTTTAACGCCAAATACCGTAAAGCCGTGTTTGGATCTCCCACAAACGAAATCGATAGAGAAATTTTAAATAAATTGCGTCTTATTTAATATAACATGTGGTAGATAATAAAACTAGAATATTAGTAAATAAAAAAATAATTTCACTTTCATCTCGATTTCTTTTTCACTATTAGTATTAATATACTCCCTCTTTTAATCAGTTTATTTAATTTTATGTAAATTAACTTGATTTTTTTTATAATAAATAAATAACAATTGAAATAATTTTTTTGATGTAAGTGACAATACTTAATAAGAATTACGTATAAAGAAAAAAAGATTTTTAATTGTCATTTATTTATTATATAAAATTATCTATTTAAATTTTATGTAAAAATCATACTGAAACAACTAAATCTAATCAAAAGTAGTATTAAAAAAAAAAAGAGAAAAAAATGATAAAATGATAGTATTTTAATTTGAGCCTATCCCTAAAGACAAGCAAATTGAGCAATTTGTGTTTAGTTCATTTCTAAAGTAGTTAAGCATTACGGCTCTTTTTCTTTAAAACAGGTGGAGGAAAACACCTGGGGTGGGGAGGATTTGGGTAAGGCTAAGACCTTGAGGGAAGAGAAGACAAAAGGAGGAGGAAAAACTGAAAACTGTATTCAAATTAGGAATACAGCCGCTGGGGTGTGAACTTCAAGTTCATAAATTAATAGATGCTTTTGTTAGGGACAAATACTAGTAAAACACTCAACTAACTAAAGTTGAGATTTTCGGTGCATTTAAAAATGAATCATAAAATAACTCATTCATTTCACAATTTCACAATTTCACAAATCTACATCTAATCATCTCAAAGTATAAATTTGAGATCTCAACTTAGAATAGGAAGTTTTAATTGAGTACCCTATTGAAGCATTAAGATAGAATTATTATGGCAGGGAGGTGGCATTGGAACTGGAAAATGTCCATCTTCATCTCAATGAATTAATTGGCTACATAAAGACATGTTATAAGCATGCGTGCATCGGTCAACACGTTGGGTTTGGTTTGGTTTTTCTTTGACTGTGATTTTTTTTTATCAGCTTCTTTGACTGTGATTTGGCATGCATCATAAAAATTTTGATTATGGCCTTCACAAAGCCTTATAGGTATTATTAATTTTTGATGGAGTAATATTTTAGGTTTTATGATTAGAATAGATGGTATAATAAGTTAATCTCTATGTATTAAATTCTTTTCTAAATAATGTAATGTTAGTGAATATGATTCAAGACATAGGTGGAGTTCAAATTCTCGATCTGAGTTCCAAACCTTTTGGCTAGGGTTGATGACCCATTGGAGCCACCAAAAAGTTATTTGATTCGGTTTCAGTTTTTTGAGTCTTATAATTTTTTTAAAAAAGTTGTTTTCAATTTTTAAATGGTTAGAAGTTAAAACTCTAAACCTATTGTATCTATATAAAGTATTTAAAACTTTACTATTAAGCTTTTAAATTTAATATTTTTTTCGTTTTTAATATTCTTATGATTATTTTATTATTGAGCACTTTTGCAAGAGTTCTACTCAAAACATAACTTATACAATTTGCAATTAGGCCAAATAAAGCTCTTTAACATAATTGTGTTTTAGGTGGTCGGCAGGTTGAGGTTTGGAAGAAAGAAGCACGGCATCTGCACAGGTTGAGGTTTAACATAAAATATTGAGTTTGCTGTTTGTGATGGATCAGTAATCTCAAGTAGCTTCCCAAAGGAATGGTGTTGCTAAAATCACCTTCTTTAAATTGGTTAATATCTCTGATTTTGCCCTCTAGGGGAGTTGCCTCAGCTAAGTGGGAGATTTCGAATTTTATACTGGATCAATTTTCGGCCCACAGTACCACTGCTACAGCCCTCGGTCCAATTAAATTAAAAAGGACAAGCAATAAGCACCAGGTCCATTGATTCCCTTCTAATTTC